GGGCCTCCCCAAGAGGCCCCCAACAAGCCCAAACGCTGCAGCGCCTACGGAGATCCCGTGCAGCGTGACTGCTGGCTGTTGCGCTTCCGATGGGCCTATGAATAGGGGGCCACCTGCGAACCCTACCCCTGCCCCCCACGATTTCTGAGGGGGAGGGTGGGGTTCACTTCGTTCGGGAGCTCTCAAGCGAAGTGAACCCCACCCTCCCCCTCAGAAGTCGTGGGGGTAGGGGCAGGGTTCGAATGTGGCCCCTTCATGAAGCCTCGGAGTGGCCCAAAAGATCGCCCCACGAGAGCCCCAAGAAGCCCAAGAAGGGCCCAGAGGGGATCCGAACCGCCATCGGGAGCCCCCGGAGAGCACACCGAGAGCGCCCAGAGAGCGCCACGGGCAGCAGGCGTCGGAGCACCAGGAGGGTGCTCGAGGAGCCCGCCTCCCCAGCTTTTGGTCGACGCTCTCCAGGGTGGCCTCGCGAGGCCTCCCAGGGCCCCAGAGAGGGCCCCACGAGGCCCCGAGGGAGCCCCCCAAAGGATGGCACTCCAAGAGCCCGAGATTCGCCCAGGAAGCGCAGGCCCTTTCTAGCTGACTCCAGACCTCTTCGCACCTCTGCTGCCAAGACCAGCTCCAAAGCCGAGCACGAAAACCTTCGCGGCGTCCCTGCGGGACGGCCCTCAACCTGCCAGCAAAGATGCGAGCAGGGAGCGTGCGAGTGACGTGGGCGGCCGCCGGCCCTCGTCGCGTCACCGTATGCTGCTGCACTCCCCCGGTCAGGGTGGCTCGCCCATGCTCTCGCCACCGCTCGGGCGTCTGCTCCCCGTGCGTGCTCCGATGCCGTGCGTGCATGTGTTGCGCAAGATGGTCCAAGATGCTCCTCGATGGCCCGCGCTGGGGGAAAAAGACCACACGCCCGAGCGACGCAAAGATGCACCGTCTCTGAATGGGCGGGTGAGCACGCGAAGCATCGGTAATGTGAACCCCACCAGCTTTTGGAGCGTAGGTGGGTTAAGGAGCTAGTTGCTCCAAACTCTGTCTTCCGCTTTCGGGGAGAAGTTCACCCCTCCACACTTGAACGATAAGAATACTACGCTCCCTCCTCCCCCGAAGTTGTCCGGAAGATCTCCCACGCCCTCCACGTGCCACTTCTCTGTGCACATGGTTTCACCAATTGCTGTTCTCATCGCTTTTTAAAATCCGATTGCCTTCGGTGCTTCAAGATGGTGTTCCCGCTGCAGCGTGGGCCTCGTTTGGGGATCGGCGCTTTGCCCCCGTCGTTCACAGTAGCGTTCGCGCCCCAGCGCGGGCCAATTCTTTTTGATCCGAGTCTTGCTTCATTGTGGTCCCCTACTCATTTC